GACAGGAACTAAGAGAAGAGAGGCAGCCATTTCAGTTTTACCACCTTAATGCTGCAAATGAGAATTCAATCGAGTGAGGACGTCATTAATAAAATTCACAAATCTAACATCAAATGAAAAGTGGCATGCAAGGATGACAGTAGAATATATTACTCAATGTGATGATAAAATCTGAATAAAAAATCTGTTATACATTCAACAATTTAGATGAATGGTATCTTGAGAAACATTTTACTATCTGTATTATAAAATGTTTAAAGGAAAATATGCTACAAAATGAAACAATAAATATTGAAGTCCAAATATGTTTGTTATACGTTATGCAATGTAAACTTAACCCCATTGTTATAATATCATGCATATATTCAGTATATACATATAATATACACGATTTATGTATGCCTGTCTCACTGTTTCAAGTCAAACTTCTGACATGAAAAAAAACTATCTTAATGAACATTTTTAAGGCACAAGACTAGATAATACTCGTGTTTGGAAAAAATGTGATATAAAGCAGAAACTGTTATATACACATATCTAAAACGGGTTAATGAAGCACGGATTTTACTAATATATAAACGAGACTTTGGTTATTAGTATTTTACTGAGATTTTGTATGTAATCTGTACACTTCACATCCGACTAATCTATCAAAAATAAAATATCATGTGGTGAAAATATATATTTCTTATACTTCTCTAAAAAACACTTAAGCTTTCTTCGTCCGATTTAAAGAACAACTACATTTTACTTTGTCACTAGTTAAAATGTACATACATTATATTTATGCACAGACAAACAAGTCAGGTCACATGATTTGTTTTCTTCTTAAAGCATTCATTGGCTATTCCATTACAGAAATGGATAAATCAAAAACTAATAATGATATAACACTATGTTCGAAGCAATCTCTAACATGTAGGTTAGAACAGTTGTTCTCAACAGTCAGTCCACGGAATGGCACTCGGCTATCACACCCACCTTGCCGGTCCATCGGACTTCACAAAAACAAAAAAACTTGACAGAGTATTCCTATTTATATCTCAATTGATATTCTTGTATTTTAGTGGTCCATGACAGTTTAGAAGGGGGATGAGCTAGTCTCTGCTATCAAAAAGGTTGAGAAATGCTGGTCTACAGCAGTGGTTCTCAACCTGTGGTCCATGTGGGTACATTATCATTTTGAAGGTGGTGTGTGAAATTAACGATCAAGTTTCATATCTTTAAAAATGGAAAAATATTATTGGTTAAATTAAAATATTGTAAAATTTTTTTAACTTACACACGTGTGTCAGTTACTGCTTTTATAATCACCTGTTTAGGTACAGGGTTCCATGAGAGTGACTATGGTTCAAAATGGGGTACGTTACGTAATATAGGTTGAAAAACATTGGTTTAAAATACCAGTGCCTCCAATTTTATGTATTTCAAGTTACTTTAGCTCACAAAAATCTAACTTGACTTATAAAACACCATGATCATGCTGCCATCTCTGAAATGATATTCTTCATGCATTATCAACATGGTTTAATATAAATATTTCAACAGCTTCTTAATTTAAATGATATATAGTACTTAAAAGAAAACTGCAAGACAATGGATCTATTTGTGCTGTTAATAAGTATAGAATAGAACAAGGCAGAAGGCAATGAATCTATTTGTGCTGTTAATAAGTATAGAATAGAACAAGGCAATGGATCTATCTGTGCTGTTAATAAGTATAGAATAGAACAAGGCAATGGATCTATCTGTGCTGTTAATAAGTATAGAATAGAACAAGGCAATGGATCTATCTG